CAACACGAAGTCATACGATAATTATGAGGCTGATAAAGGAATAACAAACACTGACAAAGTTTCGTGCATCATGCGATCCCTTACCATAATAACGCCGCGCAAATCGTTTATATGCTGCGAAAGAGAGTCTAATTCAGATATCTTTTCTTCATATTTTTTCCGCGTTTCTTCATAATTACCCAATCTAGAGGCAAACGCTTCATTCATATCGTCTGACACAGCGTCTCCACCTATGGTACTTACCGCAACTCTGACCCCTGGATGAACTTCTTCAAGCGAGTAATGTTAATTTCGATCGCAGTCACTGACTGAGAAGAAACAATGCGATTAGGACTTAGATTCTTCGCCTTTGTCGTTGCCGACTATAATGTGACGCGTAAAGCTGACTCCTCAAACGAGCCAATTAGCGATTCTTTGCACTTACTTTCAGCTGTTGCTGCGTCTCCGCAATCTGAGCCTTGAGGTCGCAGTCGCGATTCTGCAGATTTATCAACTCTTGTTTATATGTGGCTCTGACTGTCCTACTTTCTTGCACTTTGTCACGTTGGCATTCCAACTGGTTGGAAATATGCCTAAGCTCGGTCGAAATCGCACTGCTTTCGCCGCTGAGTTCGTCATATTCTGCCTTTTTGGACTTCAGGGCGTCTTCCTCAATTGTCGCTTGCTCTTCAGCGGATTTTATAATTTCCTGTTTTTCTAGGATTTGTGATTCGCATTTCTTCAACTCTTTGTGCTAAAAATCAAATCGATCTGAGATTAAAATGACTGAACAAAGAACACTGCAAATCTTACGACGCAAAACATCTATACACACGTTTTCAGAGAAGCGGTATTTTTGCTCAAGGATCATGGTTTAAAAAGGGACACTGTGAAACACTTGCAAAACCTCGTCAGAGATATTCAAATTTTACCTTTATTAGCTACTTTCGCTATTCATTTTTTAATCATAACCCCTCGTTTTTCGTTCAGAGGATAGAAAGAAAAGGATTGAATTTAATAACCATTTACTTCGGAAGAATCTATGCCGCGCGAATGATGTTAAGTTCTGTGCATTTTCTCAAGCCATCAGTCCAGCGTCTTTTGGAACTTTTCATCGGTACAGCTCTAGAGAGTAACTGGTCATAACCAAGAATGCTCTTTGACGTTATGATGTTGGCAAAACAGCTATGATGCGAAGCACTCAAAGTTCATTCAAGAATATGAAATAAGTTATAAAAGTATGAATATGTCAGATAACATTAAAGAGGTAGTCTTTTGACTATAGGTCAGAAGTTAAAGCGAAACTGAAAACATCGTTGTTAACCGAAATTGTGCTTCCCTTTACGACTGGCAGGATCAAATTCAGTTCCTCTGAAAAACTCTAAAATGAGGTAACTGCCGTAATGAAAGGTTTTTTCAGATGCAAAAGTTGGCGAACTGCTAGGATTGCTCGAAGAAGGGCTCCAAACTGGACGGCCATCCTCATTCAGACCAAATGCAATACTATCTAAAATGTTCAAATCGCCTGCAATCGATGCAAAAACTTTGTTAAGAGAAAGACGTGGTACAACAATAAGGCAACCCAGTTAATCCGCAGAACAAATTTTTGCTCCACCGTTGGTTTACCTTCGAAACTTCATCAGAAATGCACTAAACAAACAAGAAAGGCAAGTTGATGCCATTTTCTGAGTCAGTTTTGATGATCGCTTATCCTCTGGGGTCGCACAGGGCAGACGCGTCAGAGTGTCACCGATGTTCCCGATCCTGTGCCAGCGTTTGAATTTCGAGAATATATGCTGAGTCTGGAGGAGAGTCCTCGGAGATAATTG